CGCATAAACGTCGGCCCATCTGTTAGTAATTTGTAAGACGAGTCGGGTAATTAAAAGTTTGATGCGAGCATTAAACTCGTCGGGTTATAAAACGAGGGGGTGTTGCTCGCAGGTCGGTCAGGCTGGCGGCTTTTGCTGCGGAAGAGAGAGAGAGAGAGAGAGAGAGAGAGAAGAAAGAAGCGAAGAAAAGAGAGAATGCGACGACGGAGGGTGGGCGAGGTGGGTGCATCGAGAAGAGGGAGGAAGCTGCTCCGATGCATACGTCAGTTATAAGAGGCGCACTGCGCCGGCCATAAAGTACTTTAGAGTGCATAATTTTTTAAATATCTTTATTACGGCCGGCGTACCTCCTTGCCGGAGACAAGGCACGAGTTCATGGCGGATGAGCCGCGGTAATTGACCGGGCGAAATCTCGTCGGTGAGCAGCGATAAAATGCAGCGTTGTGAAACTTTTAATGGCGCACCTCTCGAGGTGTGATACACATTCCATACATCGCAAAGTTTTTTTTTTTTTTTTTTTTTTTTGTAAAATCGCACAAAAAAAACTAATAACTTGCCCTTAATAACATTTTTCACGCGTCAATATCTGTTTAATATTACAAAATTTTATGGAAATTAAATAGAAAAAATGCATTTGCTATGTATGAAGTAAATATTGTTGCAATCCAACATAATATTTTTAAATTGCATTTCATATTTTTGTTTAAACGCATATTTTTTTATCTCGCAAATTTTTCGAAGAGACAGAAAGCTTGTGTGAAAAAAATCTGTATTCTACCTTCTGCTTTGAGCGATTTCTCGGATCGCTTTAATTGCTCGCTCGTGCGGGTCTTCATCGACGCAATTTGTCGGTCGACCTCACGATAAAAACAATTCTGTACGAGCGGCTAGCTGGCATTGCGGTTTCCGGACTGCAGGCCGGAAATAGACGGTAAGATGTCGGGAAAATCCAGTGAAAGGGAGTTAATTACAATCCGTCCACGCGCGTGCTTCTCGCACGGTCGTGACATACCGCAAAGCCTCTCTCTCTCTCTCTCTCTCTCTCTCTTGATCGACAATTTGCGCGCACACAGAGCAATATGAGCGGACCTGAACTTGACCATGGCGGAAATGTCGATTTCGCGCAAACGGGACTGCATTAAGAGCTCACTGTGTGTCATTGGGATTTGCAATATGCGCGTTCATTTCATATTTCATTTCGCTGTTCAAACGCGACTCGGAACGGTCAGATTATTATGCACGCGTTCTTTTTTATATACATATACCGCGGGCATAACGGTGTTGGCATCACACCGTTATCACGTTATAATCACACGTGTATGTTTATTTGACTTCTCTAATAATATCGCGCATAATTACAGACATGTACGTGAATTTTTTTTCGAAGCTGCAGCGTGTGTGTCCAATTACTTCTTCAAAATATGTCCGTGGCTTGTATAAAAAAAGTATTGCATATATACATGAGACGATTTCGCAATAAAATATACCAGCACGCGAAACGGACTTCACTTTATGATCCTCTAATCGTTGGTTTACGCCGTGGCTGAAATAACGGTGAAGGTGTTATTTTACGGCATGCCTAATGCGCTTTTTTTTTTTTTTGTCAGAGCGAACAGTCGTGTTCGGCGCGGGATGCGCGGCCGATCGTAGTCGGTCTCCGAAACCAAACTCCATAAACCACAGAAACGTAAAATAAAATCATTTAAACGACTCGCGCACTCGCGTTGTTATTAGCCCTTAATCCAGCTGTTACCATCGCGCGCACCGAATCCCATTCCCGTTAATCAAAACGTTACGACCTATCCATGGAGTATCACACGAGCTGAACCGTTAAATTCACGTACAACATACAGCCGTCCGCTTGCAGTTTTGCATACGGCCGATGGATGTGTGCCGGCATGAACCGGCCACGACAGCGCGCATGTTGTTATTACATTCCGCGTGATCGGGCAGCCTTTTTTTTCCACGTGCTAGTTGCGAATACCATTTTACGGGCCGATGTCGGTTTGATCATCGGCTTGTAAATTATAAAGTCGACGAACACATGTTCCTTATGCAAATTCTATGCGGTGGGTAATATTAATAGTGCGCTACGTGACGTAAAACATAGTTTATACGGCAGGTATTTAAAGTTTTTATGTCGCGAAATTACGCGGCATTTAAACTGATTTTCTGTCGGAAGATGTGTCGCTGCGATTGTTGTTTAGAACAATGTAAGGTTCTTCGTTAAATTTACAAAGATGAAATTTGTACTGTAAATTAATATGTCTTTAATATAGTTTTAATTTTTTTCGGAGCAATCGGTGCTATTCTGCGCTTGTTTTATTTAACTTTTACTGATTAAATCTTCTTCAATACTGTTGTTTATAATATTGGTTGTATTTCATACGAAAGATTCGAGATTAAGCGAAAAGGTGGCACAGAGGAGTTTGCTGCAACGTGAGATTCTTGTTCACAGTAGTCCGAACACTATAAGATATCAATCTGATGGGGGAAGACTTATGTATAATCATGCGTCTACTTTATCTTTATAGCAACCTTTATTTTTCTTGATGCCTAGAGAATTCCGCCGACATTATAACGACGTCGTTAAAATCCACTGACAAGATTGAGGATGAATGATGTAGGTCCAGTCGTGTACTACGGGGGTCCAGGAAAATTACTCTAACTTACCTTAGCTGTTACTTTGATCAGTCTTAATCGGATCTCCAGCTCTATAATAATACGCAATAAATTAATAATTAAAATCAAAGTGACATTTTATTCACTAAAGACCGTACATGTATTATTTGTAGCAATTTGTTTCTGCAATATCCGCCGTGTGATAAAACGCGTGATTAATATACGAAAATTGTATACGATTATCACTTGTATATGTTGTCCGATATGTTAACTAAGTATATGTTAACTAAGCGCGTGAGAACATCACGATGGTGGAATTCGTTGATACCTGTTATTAAATCATTGGCGATGTATTTCGAAAGCGCAATTTAAATCTCATCTTTGAGCTACAACTCATACATATTCATTCCGGCGTTTTAATTTTAGAGCAGATCGTAAGATCTTGAAATGCTTGGCTACAGCCGACATTAAAGTGCCATGAGTAGAGTCCAGTGATGGGGATCGCGAGATGATATTGCTGCAGGGAAGTTGTGCTAAAATGACACTTGTAGTACAGTCTTTTTCTTAGTCGATAAATTCTGCTCTTACATTTCTAACTAATTATCTTATTAAAAGAAAATTAAGCCAATATCTCTATACAACAATTAAAATTATCAGCTCAGCTACCGAAGCTCAGTTTCGGTATCGACCCATACTTTCCATTTTATAGATACAACGTGATGTCACCATAAAGATGGATTACTACTGCTGCCAACATTATTGTCTGCCACAAAGCTACTCTTAAGAATAATTGTCGAAAGATTATTGATGTGTGCGAATAAGGATCGAGAAAAGAAAAAATTATGAAACGCGCCTAAATCAGTTTAGAATAGTTAGTCAATTCGTTTGATACCGAATTATCGAATGGACAATCTGTCGTTATTAACATCCGTTTTGCGTATCATCCACACCTTACTTAATAAAGATTAATAGATCAAGAATTATGTCGAAATATCAGCATCTAAAACTAATACCGTCAATTAGAAATAATACAAACATAAAAAAAACAACAAAAAAAAAATAAGTAAAATATAATAAGTTTACAAAACGCAAAAATAAGTAGCTGAATAGAGTAAAGGTATTTTTATCCCGTATGAGACATTGTGTCGAGAGAACGATGACGTTACTTACTATGTTATGTACTTTAATAGTCTACAAATGTTTCATTATATCATAGACTTATAAAAATTAATAAATAAAAAGATGAAACAAATTTCATTCTAAAAGTAAGAAAATATTCAAACTTATATAGTACAAATTGTTATTTACTCACTGAACTTATATACACGTTGGCCGAATGAAGCAGTAATGGGAATGGGATTTCAAAGAGAGAAACGGGAGAACTTCAATATATTTGCTACTTAAGTTAATCAATAAATCAGTAATCAGTTTTGTTTTCTTTTTATTATATATTTAATATTTATAAGACTGAATTGTGCTCCCAATGTTATGTTCTACACTTTCTAAAATTGTCATTAATTAAAATTTTTCAAATGTTTTGTGAATATTGTCCAAAAAATTTGAGAATAATGTTAAATAATTTACATATTAATTCATAACGCATTTCTCTTAATTTCCACGTTATTGCAAGTTTCATATGTAAAACATACAATGCAGAACCGAAAAAAAATACAAATATACAGAATGTCCCAATAAAATGTATATACATATATTTTAACAAAATGAACAGACGATAACTTCTTAATGTGTATACCTTTTATTAGGCAATATTATATATGTAGCACAGAAGGCACATATACAATAAGTGTCACACGACACGAGTGATATTCCTAAACACAAATACCAGTATGTGTTTGGACGTGATCAATTGATACAACGAGAGTTTTATAACGTATGTATATAATAAGAAATTTAATATATAAAAAGACGTTAATAAAACATTTTCAAGTACTAAAATTCAAAAACGCAAGAAACAACATGATTCTCATATTAAAATTGGTATTAATATTTTTATTAAATAAAACGCACGCATATATCGAGCAAGATATCGAAAGAATATTGCTGCCGGCATTGAATTCGACAAGCGCAAAGGAAGTACGTGCTATTTACGGTACCGCTTTATTCATTGCGCAGTGTCCACAATATTATTCGAGAATTATCAAGCTTTTTATTCATTGCTATTCAATTTGCAGATACCACTAACTCTGAAAATTTTTGAAAAACAAATTCAATTAAACCTGCGTAGAAACGATCAGATTGTATCGTCCAAGTTTAAAGTATGGAAACATGACGCAAAAAGCATCACGGAAGAACTTATTCCGCAATTATACGCATCTGATCCTTGCCATTATTTTCACAATGATCATATCAGCACAGCGGCCATAAACTTTTGTCAAGAATATGGATGGGTCAGTGATATCATATGAAAAACTAATAATTTTTAATTTTAATCTCAAATTTTCTTTGTTGTAAATATAAGCATAACACGCGTGATCATTAATGTATATTTTTCAAAGTAGGAAGGATTCGTTTTTCTGAAAGACGAAACATTGGAAATTAGACCTTTGCGGGATGACTTTGCGTCTTTGACCTCAATCGACGATCTTTGCGTTAAAGAAGAGACAAATATATCAATTGGCAAACCTCATTTAATTAAAAGAACAATGCATTTATCTGCTGATTCAAGTTTTCGTAAATACGATAATTTTAAAATAAAGCGACGTCATGTACGAAATACGCAAAAAAAATTAACTATAGAACTAGCTGTGTTCGTCGACGAAGCCGCATATCGTACGTTCATGCCTTTTCTGGACAAAGATGAAAAAAAGTTGCGCATGATGATATTAGCGTATGTGAATAATATTCAAGCTATGTTCCATCATCCTAGTTTGGGTGTCTCTATCGATATTTCGTTGGTACATTTGGAATTCTTGGATAAACAACCCTCAAATTTGCCAGATTTTGGCGGTGACGTTGTGAAACTGAGCGAAGCATTCTGCGAATTCGCAAAAACTCGCAATCCTCCGGACGACAATGATCCGCATCACTGGGACATTGGTCTTTACATAACCGGAGTAAACGTTTATGGCACGAGTCAAGCTGTCGCAGGAAAATCCTTCATCAGTGGTGTGTGCAAATCAAATAAATCGTGTGCGATAGTCGAATTCGGTATTGTAGGTAGTGTGACATCGGGTTTTATATCATCTCTCGCTGCTGCTCATGAGATCGGCCATGTGTAAGTTTATAATAATTTTAGAAATAAATTAAACATGAATAATATGTTTCAAAAAAATTTATTCAATTGTATAAATTAAAAGTAAAAAATAAAAAAACTTTTTAAGAAATTTGTCCTATTAATAGTTCAGTATGTTAATTATTAATAGATTTGCAATATAAAAATATTTGGAATAAACAATGCAAATATTATAATCACGATAAATAATTTATTTGTCCCAAAGCTTAGGAATGCAACACGATTCAATACCGTGTGAAAAATTCAAATACATTATGACTCCTGGCCTGGGACCCGTAGGCCATATGACATGGTCCGAGTGTAGTCGTAATACAGCTGAAAAACTCTGGACTACACCAAAGTGTCTTGCAGATCATACGACATCAAAAGACGACTTGGACCATTCGAGATATCACGATTTACCCGGAAGAGAATGGACTGCCAAAGCTCAATGCGAAATATATTTTCGCGACAAGGATGCAAACGTAGTCTCGTTGCTTGATATATGCAAATCCTTACAATGCGAATCGCCTCACAAAAATGGGTATTACTTTACGGGACCGGCGTTGGAAGGTATGTACCTTCTTATTGATTTCTCAATTAACGACATTAAAGTTCAATAAATATCATTTTTTTAGGAACTTATTGCGTACTCGGGAAGGAATGTCGCGGAGGAGAATGCGTGCCTCTTCTCGAACTGCCATACACGCTCGAGTATTGTGAAGATGATAACTGGTGTGAATGGAAAGAAGGCACCTGTCAGAGTAGTTGTTTGGAAGAATCTAAAGGCGTAAAAATCAAACGACGTTCTTGCAAGCATGGAAGTCGCAGAACGGCGAGTTGTGAAGGGCCATATTACGACGTGGTTCTGTGCGATGATTCGTTACTCTGCACGGAGAAACGTAAAAAGATCCATTTATATACTGCAACAAAATGCACGCAATTCAATCTTTTCGCAATATCAATCAAAATGGAATTGCCGTTTGAATTAGAAATGAAGCCAGGATGGCAGGCCGCTCATGATGTCGAGAAGCCATGGAAGGCCTGTACTGTACACTGCCGACTAAAAGATTCATTTACTCTCTACTCACTACGCGTTGAAATGATCGGCATTAATATGGACCCATACTTTCCAGATGGAATGTGGTGTCACAAGGAACATGGCGAAGATTATTACTGCCGCCAACATTATTGTCTGCCGGAAAGCTATAATTATTAAAAAATCATTGACGTGTGTGTATGAGAATCGAAAGAAAAATCATGAACCGCGCCTAAATCATTTTAGAATAGTTCGACAATTTGTTTGGCACCGAATTTTCGATCGGTCAATCTGTCCTTATTAACATCTGTTTAGCATATCATCCACATCTTATTTAATTAAGACAAATAGACCAAGAATTATATCAAATTTTCGGCAATTAAAATTAATTCCGTCGATTAAAAATAATAAAAACATTAAAAAAATAACAAAAAGTAATAGGTAATATTTAATATGTTTACCACATGCAAAAATGAGTAGCTGAGTAGAGTAGAGGTATTTCTATTCCGTATGAGATATTGTGTCGAAAGAATAAACGAGAACGACACCGTTATTGACTATGTTATGTACTTTAATAGTTTGCCAATGTTTCATTATGTTATAAAGAGATTTATATACATGAATAAACGAAAAAATAAAAAAAATTTTATTCCCAAAATAAGAAAATATTCATACTTATTTGGCGAAAATTGTGACTTCACTGAATTTAAGTGCCCGTTAGCCGAACGCGGCAGTAACGGAGTCGTCAGAGAAAGAGAAACGGGTGAATTTCAATATATTTGCCACTTAAGTTAATCAATAAATCAGTAATCAGTTGTCTTTTTTTAAATATCTTTAATATTTATAAGGCAAAATTGTGCTCCCAATGTTATGTTTTACACTTTCTACAAATGTCATTAATTATAATTTTTCAAATGTTTGTGAATATTGTTCAAAATATTTAATAATAATTTTACATATGTTACATATCAATCATAATTCATAACGCATTTATCTTACTTCTAACGTTATTGCAAGTATCATATGTAAAATATGCAATTCAGAACCGAAAAGAAAAATACGAATACATAGAGCGTCCCTATAAAATGTATATATATTTTATTCTCATATATTTTAACAAAATGGACAGACGATAACTTGTTAATGTGTACATTTTATAAGGACATCCTGTATATGTAGCATAGAAGGTATATATACAATAAGTGTCACACGACACGAGTGATATTCCTAAACCCAGATACCAGTATGTGTTTATACCCGATCAGATGATCAACGAATATAAGAGCATTATAGCGTACGTATGTAATAAGTATTTAAATATAAAAAGACATTAATAAAACATTTTTAAATACTAAAATTGAAAAACACAGAAAACAATATGTTTCTCATATTGAAATTGGTGTTAATATTTTTGTTAAATGAAACGTACGCATATATCGAGCAAGATATCGAAAAAGTATTACTGCCGTCATGGAATTCGACAATCGCAAAGGAAGTACGTGCGATTTACTGTACCGCTTTATTCATTGTGCTGTGTCCAAAATATAATTCAAGAATTATCGAGTCTTTTATTCATTGCCATTCAATTTGCAGATACCACTAACTCTGAAAATTTTTGGAAAACAAGTTCAATCAAACCTGCGTAAAAACGACCAGATTGTATCCTCCAAGTTCAAAGCATGGACACGTGACGCAAAAAGCATAACAGAAAAATTTATTCCGCAATTATACGCATCTGATCCTTGCCATTATTTTCACAAAGATCATATCAACACAGCGGCCATAAACTTTTGTCAAGAACATGGATGGGTCAGTGATACCATATAAAAAACTAATAATTTTTAATTTTATTCTCAAATTTTTTGTTGTATATATAAGCATGACACGCAAAACCATTAATGTATATTTTTTAAAGCAGAAAGGACACGTTTTTCTGAAAGATGAAACATTGAAAATTAGACCTTTGCGGGATGACTTTGCGTCTTTGACCTCAATCGACGATCTTGGCGTTAAAGAAGAAATTAATATATCATTTGCCAAACCTCACTTAATTAAACGATCGTTGCAAATATCTGCTGATTCAAGTTTTCGTAAATTCGATAATTTTAAACAAAAGCGACGTTATGTGTCAAGTACGCAAAAAAAATTAACTATAAAGCTGGCTGTGTTTTTCGACGAAGCCGCATATCGTACGTTTATGCCTTTTCTGGACGAAGATGAAAAAAAGTTACGCATGATGATATTAGCATATGTGAATAATATTCAAGCTATGTTCCATCATCCTAGTTTGGGAGTTTCTATCGATTTATCGTTGGTACATTTGGAAATCTTGGATAAACAACCGTCGAATTTACCAGTTTTTGACGGTGACAGTGATAAACTACGCGAAGCTTTCTGCAAATTCGCGGAAGCTCGCAATCCTCCGGATCATAACAATCCACATCACTGGGACATTGGTCTTTATCTAACCGGAGTAAACATTTATGGCATGAGCCATGCTATTGCAGGAAGATCCTTCATCGGTGGTGTGTGCAAATCAAATGAATCGTGTGCGATAGCAGAATTTGGTATTGCACATAGGCTGTCATCGGGTTTTACATCATCTTTCATTGCTGCTCATGAGATTGGCCATGTGTAAGTTTGTAATAGTTTTACAAATAAAGTAAACATGAATAACATGTTTTATGAAAATTTGTTCAATTGTATGAATTAAAAGTAAAATTTAAAGAAACTTCTTTAGAAATTTGTGCTTTTAAATGTTTATTAATTATTAAGTGTTATTATGTTTATTAATTATTAAGTTTGTTAATTATTAATAAATTTGTAATATAATAATGTTAAGAATAAACAATGCAACGTAATTAGCGCATTATCAAAATTAATAACTTATTTGTTCCAAAGCTTAGGAATGCAACATGATTCAATACTGTGTGATAATGGTGTCAAAGGCATTATGAGCCCTCGCATGGGACACGTAGGCCATATGACATGGACCTGGTGTAGTCGTTTTACAGCTGAAAAACTCTGGACTACACCAAAGTGTCTTAAAAGTTATACGAAATCGAAAGACGTTTATGACCATTCGCGTTATTACGATTTACCCGGAAGAAAATGGACCGCCAAAGCTCAATGCGAAATATATTTTCGCGACAAAGATGCAAACGTAGCCTCGTTGCTTGATATATGTAAATCTTTACAATGCGAAACGCTTCACGAAAATGGGTATTACTTTACAGGACCGCCTTTGGAAGGTATGTACTTTTTTACTGATATTTCAATTAATTTATAGTTCAATTAATCTCATTTTTCTAGGAACTCATTGAGCATTAGGGAAAGAATGTCGCGGAGGAGAATGCGTGCCCGTTCTCAAACCGCTATACATTTTTAAGTATGGTGAAGATAATAACTGGGGTGACTGGAAAGAAGGTGCCTGTCAAAGTAGTTGCTTGATGAAATCTAAAGGCGTAAAAGTCAAACGACGTTCTTGCAAACATGGAAGTAACATAACAGCGAGTTGCAAAGGGCCATATTACGACGTGGTTCTATGCGATGATTCGTTACTTTGTACTGAGGAACGCAAAGGGATCGAATTATATATTCAAGAAAAGTGCAAGCAATTGAACTTTTTCGCAACAATGTTTCGCAACACTTTGAACTTTATGTTTGAATTAGATAAAGAGTCAAAATGGCAGGCTATTTATGATGTCGAGAAACCATGGAAAGCCTGTATTATACACTGCCGACTCAAAAATTCATCTACTCTCTACGCACCACGCTTTGAAATGATCGACTTTAATATGGACCCATACTTTCCAGATGGAACGTGGTGTCACAAGAAAGACGGCAAGAATTATTACTGCCGCCAACATTATTGTCTGCCGGAAAGATATAACTGATATGAATTATTGATGTGTGAACGGGAATCGAGAAAAAAGAAAATCATGAAATGCGCGTAACTCAACTTAGAATAGTTCTTCAATTCGTTTGGCATTGAATATTCGATCGATCAATCTGTCGTTATTAACATCTGTTTTGCATATCATTCACATCTTACTTAATAAAGACAAGTGGACTAAGAATTATATCAAATTTTCTGCAACTAAAATTAATTCCGTCGATTAAAAATATTGCAAACATAAAAAAAATAACAAAAAAGTAATAGGTAATATTTAATATGTTTATCAAATGCGAAAATAAATATAGTAGAGATATTTCTATTCCGTATGATATATTGTGTTAAGAAAATGAACGAGAACGATACGTCTCTCTCACTATGTTATGTACTTTAATAGTCCACCAATGTTTCATTATGCTATATAGAGACTTATATAAATGAATAAACGAAAAAATGAAGAATATTTCATTCCGACAATAAGAAAATGTTCATACTTATTTAATACAAATTGTTCACTGAATTATTCACTGAATTTATGTGCCCGTTGGCCGAATACGGCAGTAACGGGATCGTCAGAAATGGTTGAATTTCAATATCTTTGCTACTTAAGTTAATCAGTAAATCAGTGATCAGATTTTTTTTTTTTAAATATCTTTAATATTTATAAGGCAAAATTGTGCTCCCAATGTTATGTTCTACACATTCTAAAATTGTCATTAATTATAACTTTTTAAATGTTTATAAAATTTTTTAAATGTTTGTGAATATTGTTCAAAATATTTAATAATAATTATACATATTTTACATATCTATCATAATTCATAACGCATTTTTTTTCTTCTTGCGTTATTGCAAGTTTCATATGTAAAATATGCAATTCAGAACCGAAAAGAAAAATACGTATACATAGGGTCCTTATAAAATGTATATATATTTTATTCCTATAAATTTTATCAAAATGGACGATAACTTGATAATGTGTATACATTTTATAAAGACATCCTGTATATGTTGCATAGAAGGTATATATACAATAAATGTCACACGACACGAGTTATGTTCCTCTTCCTACAAACCCAGATACCAGTATGTATTTATATTTGATCCGATGATCAACGAATATGAGAGACTTATAGCGTATGTATGTAATAAATAATTAAATATAAAAAGACATTAATAAAACATTTTTAAGAACTAAAATTAAAAAACGCAAAAAACAACATGTTTCTTATCTTGAAATTGGTGTTAATATTTTTGTTAAATAAAACGTACGCATATATCGAACAAAATATCGAAAGAATATTGCTGCCGTCATGGAATTCGACAATCGCAAAGGAAGTACGTGCGATTTACTGTACCGCTTTATTCATTGCGCTGTGTCCAAAATATAATTCAAGAATTATCAAATCTTTTATTCATTATCATTCAATTTGCAGATACCACTAACTCTGAAAATTTTTGGAAAACAAATTCAATTAAACTTGCATAGAGACGACCAAATTATATCGTCCAAGTCTAAAGTATGGAAACATGATGCAAAAAGCATCACGAAAGAACTTATTCCGCAATTATACGCATCTGATCCTTGCTATTATTTTCACGAAGATCATATCAGCACAGCGGCCATAAACTTTTGTCAACAATATGGATGGGTCAGTGATACCGTATGAAACACTTTCGTTTTTAATTTTAATCTCAAATTTTATTTGTTGTAAATATAAGTATGACACGCAAGACCATTAATGTATATTTTTCAAAGCAGGAAGGACACGTTTTTCTGAAAGATGAAACATTAGAAATTAGACCTTTGCGGAATGACTCTGCGTTTTTTATCTCAATCGACGATTTTTGCGTTAAAGAAGAGACAAATATATCATTTGGCAAACTTCATTTAATTAAAAGAACATGGCATTTATCTGCTGATTCAAGTTTTCGTAAATTTGATAATTTTAAAATAAAGCGACGTCATGTACGAAATACGCAAAAAAAATTAACTGTAAAACTGGCTGTGTTCTTCGACGAAGCCGCACATAGTATGTTCATGCCTTTTCTAGACAAAAATGAAGAAAAGTTGCTCATGATGATATTAGCGTATGTGAATAATGTTCAAGCTATGTTCCATCATCCTAGTTTGGGTGTTTCTATCGATATATCGTTGGTACATTTAGAAATCTTGGATAAACAACCGTCAAATTTGCCAGTTTTTGACGGTAACAGTGATAAACTGCGCGAAGCGTTCTGCAAATTCGCAAAAACTCGCAATCCTTCGGACAAAAATGATCCGCATCACTGGGACATTGGTCTTTATCTAACCGGAGTAAACATTTATAGCACGAGCCATGCTACTGCAGGAAGATCCTTCATCGGTGGTGTGTGCAAATCAAATGAATCGTGTGCGATAGTAGAATTTGGTGTTGAAAATAGTGTGGCAGCAGGTTTTACATCATCTTTCGTTGCTGCTCATGAGATCGGCCATGTGTAAGTTTGTAATAGTTTTACAAATAAAGTAAACATATGAATAACATGTTTTATAAAAATTTGTCCAATTGTATGAATTAAAAGTAAAAAATAAAGAACCTTCTTAAGATATTTGTTCTTTTAAATGTTTAATGTGTTAATTATTAATAAAATTGTAATATAATAATATTAAGAATAGATAATGCAAGGTAAAGCATATTACCAAAATTAATAACTTACTTGTTCCAAAGTTTAGGAATGCATCACGATTCAATACTGTGTGACAATGGCAAAGGCATTATGAGGCCTCGCATGGGACGTGTAGGCCATATAACATGGTCCGAGTGTAGTCGTTATACAGCTGAAGAACTCTGGACTACACCAAAGTGTCTTGGAGATTATACGAAATCGATAGACGTCTATGACCATTCGCGTTATCACGATTTACCCGGAAGGGAATGGACCGCCAAAGCTCAATGCGAAATATATTTTCGCGACAAGGATGCAAACGTAGTCTCGTTGCTTGATATATGTAAATCTTTACAATGCAAAGCGCCTCACAAAAATGAGTATTACTTTACGGGACCGGCGTTGGAAGGTATGTACCTTCTTACTGATCTCTCAATTAACTTATAGTTTAATTAATCTCATTTTTTTAGGAACTCATTGCGCATTAGGGAAGGAATGTCGCGGAGGAGAATGCGTGCCCGTTCTCGAACCGCCATACATTTTCAAGTATTGTGAAGATTATATCTGGAGTGAATGGAAAGAAGGCACCTGTCAAAGTAGTTGCACGCGGGCATCTAAAGGCGTAAAAGTCAGACGACGTTCTTGCAAGCATGGAAGTCGCAGAACGGCGAGTTGTGAAGGGCCATATTACGACGTGGTTCTGTGCGATGATTCGTTACTCTGTACTAAGGAACGAAAAAGGATCGAATTAAATATTGAGGAAAAGTGCATGCATTTGCACTTTTTAACAACAATGTACAATGTGGATTTGATGATTGAATTCGATGTAGAGTCAGAATGGCGGGTTCTTCATGATGTCGAGAAACCATGGAAGGCCTGTACTATACACTGCCGACAAAAAAATTCATCTACTCTCTACGCACCACGCTTGGAAATGATCGACTTGAATATTGACCCATACTTTCCAGATGGAACGTGGTGTCACCAGAAAGACGGTGAGAATTATTACTGCCGCCAACATTATTGTTTGCCGGAAAACTACAGTTATAATGGTTAAGAAATCATTCACATGTGTGAACGAGAATTGAGAAGAAAGATAATCATGAAATCATGAAATTATGCGCGTGACGCAATTTAGAATAGTTTTTCAATTTGTTTGGCTCCGAATATTTGATCGGTCAATCTATCATTATTAACATTTGTTTTGCATATCATCCACACCTTAGTTAATAAAGACAAATGGATCAAGAATTATATGGAATTATTTGCAACTAAAGCTAATTCTGTCAGCTAGAAATAATGCAAACATAAAAAATGACTAAACAGTAACAGGTTACATTTAATATGTTTACAAAACGAGAATAAATATCTGAGTAAAGTAGAGATATTTTTATTCCGTATGAGATAATGTGTCGAGAGAATAAAAGAGAACGATAACTCATTTACTGTGTTATGTACTTTAATAATCTACTAATGTTTCATTATATTATATAGACACTTATATAGATTAATGAACGAAAGGATGAAGAAAATTTCATTCCAAAAGTAAGAAAATATTGAAACTTATTTAGTACAAATTGTTACTTATTCACTGAATTTATGAGCTTATTAATCAAATGCGGCAGTAACGGGGACGTCAGAAAGAGAAACGTGAAAATTTCAATATATTTGCTACTTAGGTTGATCAGTGATCAATTTTTTTTTTTTTTAACCTATTTAATATTTATAAGGCTAAATTGTGCTCGCAATGTTATGTCCAACACTTTCTATTGCTATTAATTATATTTTTTTAAATGTTTGTGAATATTGTTCAAAATATTTGAGAATAATGTTATTTATTTTACATATCAATCATAGTTCACAACACATTTGTCTTAATTCTCACGTTATTACAAGTGTCATATGTAAAATATACAATTCAAAAAGAACCAAAAAGAAAAGTACGAATAAACAAGGTGTCTCTATAATATGAATATACATTTCTTACGATACATTTTAACAAAATGTACAGACAATAACTTGTGTATGTGTATACATTTTATAAGGACATCCTGTATATGTAGCATAGAAAGTATATACACAATAAGCGTCACACGACACGAATGATATTCGTAAACGCAGATACCAGTATGTGTTTGTACGCGATCAGATAATCAACGAACATGAGAGCATTATAGCGTATGTATGTAATAAGTATTTAAATATAAAAAAACATTAATAAAACATTTTTAAGTACTAAAATTAAAAAACGCAGAAAACAATATGTTTCTCATATTGAAATTGGTGTTAATATTTTTGTTAAATGAAACGTACGCATATATCGAGCAAGATATCGAAAGAATATTATTTCCGTCATGGAATTCGACAATTGCAAAAGAAGTACGTGCGATTTATTGTACCGCTTTATTCATTGCGCTGTGTGCAAAATATAATTCAAGAATTATCAACTCTTTCATTCATTGCCATTCAATTTGCAGATACCACTAACTCTGAAAATTTTTGGAAAACAAGTTCAATTAAACCTGTGTAGAAACAACCAGATTGTATCCTCCAAGTTTAAAGCATGGAAACGTGACGCTAAAAGCATCACGGACGAACTCATTCCGCAATTATACGCATCTGATCCTTGCCATTATTTTCACAAAGATCATATCAGCACAGCGGCCATAAACTTTTGTCAAGAACATGGATGGGTTAGTGATACCATATAAAAAACTAATAATTTTTAATTTTATTCTCAAATTTTTTGTTGTAAATTTAAGCATGACACGCAAGACCATTAATGTATATTCAAAGCAGGAAGGACACGTTTTTCTGAAAGATGAAACATTGGAAATTAGACCTTTGCGGGATGACTTTGCATCTTTGACCTCAATCGACGATCATTGCGTTAAAGAAGAGATAAATATATCATTTGGCAAACCTCACTTAATTAAACGATCATTGCAATTATTTGCTGATTCAAGTTTTCGTAAATTCGATAATTTTAAACGAAAGCAACGTCATGCGCAAGACACGCAAAAAAAATTAACTGTAAAACTGGCTGTGTTCTTCGACGAAGCCGCACATCGTACGTTCATGCCTTTTCTGGACAAAGATGAAGAAAAGTTGCGCATGATGATATTAGCGTATGTGAATAATGTTCAAGCTATGTTCCATCATCCTAGTTTGGGTGTTTCCATCGATATTTTGTTGGTACATATCGAAATCTTGGATAAACAACCATCAAATTTGCCAGTCCTTGATGGTAACAGTGATAAACTGCGCAAAACGTTTTGCAAATACGCGAAAACTCGCAATCCTTCGGACAACAATGATCCGCATCACTGGGACATTGGTCTTTATCTAACCAGAGTAAACATTTATGGCACGTGCATTTCTGTCGCAGGAAGATCCTTTCTCGGTGGTGTGTGCAAATCAAATGAATCGTGTGCGATAGTCGAATTCGGTGTTGCAAATAGTGTGACATCAGGTTTTACATCATCTTTCACTGCTGCTCATGAGATCGGCCATGTGTAAGTTTGTAATAGTTTTACAAATAAAGTAAACATGAATAACATGTTTTATAAAAATTTGTCCAATTGTATGAATTAAAAGTAGAAAATAAAGAACCTTCTTAAGAGATTTGTTTTTTCAAATGTTCAGTATGTTAATTATTAATAAAATTGTAATATAATAATATTAAGAATAAATAATGCAAGGTAAAGCATATTATCAAAATTAATAACTTATTTGTTCCAAAGTTTAGAAATGCGACACGATTCATTACTGTGTGGTTATGACAAAGGTATTATGAGCCCTCGCATGGGACGTGTAGGCCATATGACATGGTCCGAGTGTAGTCGTTATACAGCTGAAGAACTCTGGACTACACCAAAGTGTCTTGGAAATCATACGAGATCGAAAGACGTCTATGACCATTCGCGTTATCACGATTTACCCGGAAGGGAATGGACCGCCAAAGCTCAATGCGAAATATTTTTTCGCGACAAAGATGCAAACGTAGTTTCATTGCTTGATATATGTAAATCCTTACAATGCGAAATGCCTCACAAAAATGAGTATAATTTTACCGGACCGGCGTTGGAAGGTATGTATCTTTCTACTGATCTCTCAATTAACTTGTAGTTCAATTAATCTCATTTTTTTAGGTACTCATTGCGCATTAGGGAAGGAATGTCGCGGAGGAGAATGCGTGCCCGTTCTCGAACCGCCATACATTTTCAAGTATTGTGAAGATTATATTTGGAGTGAATGGAAAGAAGGCACCTGTCAAAGTAGTTGCACGCAGGCATCTAAAGGCGTAAAAGTCAGACGACGTTCTTGCAAACATGGAAATAACATAACGGCGAGTTGTGAAGGGCCATATTACGATGTGGTTCTGTGCGATGATTCGTTACTCTGTACTGAGGAACGCAAAAAGATCGAATTAAATGTTGAGAAAAAGTGCATGAAATTGAACTTTTTCGCAATAATGTATAATTTGGACTTGATGTTTGAATTCGATGTAGAGTCAAAATGGCGGGTTCTTCATGATGTCGAAAAACCATGGAAGGCCTGTACTATCCACTGCCGATTAGAAAATTCATCTCTTTACGCACCACGCTTGGAAATAATCGACTTTAATATTGACCCATACTTTCCAGATGGAACGTTGTGTCACAAGGAAGATGGCGAGAATTATTATTGCCGCCAACATTATTGTCTGCCGGAAAGATATAACTGATATGAAATTATTGATATGTGTGAACGAGAATCGAGAAGAAAGAAAATCATGAAATGCGTGAACTCAATTTGAAATAGTTCTTCAATTCGTTTGGCATCGAATATTCGATCGATCAATCTGTCGTTATTAACATCTGTTTTGCATTTTATCCACATCTTACTTAATAAAGATAATAGGACCAAGAATTATATCGAATTATCTGCAACTAAAACTAATTCCGTTGATTAGATATAGTGCAAACATAAAAAATAACAAAAAAGTAATAGGTAATATTTAATATGTTTACAAAATGCGAAAATAAGTAGCTGAGTAGAGCAAAGATATTTCTATCCGGTATGTAATATTGTGTCAAGAGAATGAACGAGAACGATAACGTCTTTCACTATGTAATGTACTTTAATAGTCTACAAATGTTTCATTATATTATATAGAGACTTAGAAAGATTAATATATGATGAAATAAAGAAAATTTCGTTTCGAAAGTAATAAAATATTCAAATTTATTTAGTGCAAATTATTACTTATTCACTAAACTTATGTGCCCGTTGGCCGAATGCGGCAGCAACGGGGACGTTGGAGAGAGAGAAACGTGAAAATTTCAATATATTTGCTACTTTGGTTAATCAGTACATCAATGATTAGTTTTGTTTTCTTCTTATAATATAATTTACATTTATAAAGCTAAATTGTGCTTACAATGTTATGTTCCACTCTTTTCATAATTGTATTTAATTAAAATTTTATGATCATTTGTGTATATTGTTCAAAATATTTGTGAATAATGACACATGTTCTATATACCAACCATAATTCATAACGTATTTCTCTTAATTCCCATGTTATTGCAAGTTTCATATATAATATATACAATTCAAAACCGAAAAAAAATTACGAATATAAAGAGCGTCCCAATGAAATGTATATTAATAAGAAATCTTTGAGCTTTTATTTAAGTAATTAAAATTTAAAATTACAGAAAAAGTCTTGATATGCAAAAACCATAGCTAGAACTAGTTGCTCAATAAATTATGTTAATCAATAAATAATATTACAAACGTTTCGGCACATATGGTTTTGCCATCCTCTGTGTACAATAAAAAGCTAGGCTAGTCCTAGATCTAGTTTTGTAACTTTGTCGGATACACATTACATATACCAAGATTTCTTTTGGCTTATCTTTCTGTCTCAAATTCTAGTACTAAGCCGATATTACAAGTTTTTGAATTTTACATTGATCATGTATTACTGTTGGTGCATTGTGGTGTTCGGCGACCTATTCATTTTCAATGATGAATTTGGACCTGTACCTGCGAACATATTATTTTCATTGGCTCTACATTTTTAATTTTTTGCCACCTTGGACTTTATATATTCTTGGACCGTTGCGAATCGACATTTTGTTTTTTTCTGCATTAATCAGAGAATAAATTTCGACTCAGCACAATTAAGATGATAATGTACATTTCACAGATTAACTCTCTATTTAGCCGTCGCTATTGACAACCATGAGTTCATGCGTTTATATTATATGTATTATCGTTCTGTTTTCCGTTTTTATTGTACACTGAGGATGGCCAAAACATGTGTGCTGAGACGTTTGTATCATTATTTATCGATTAATATAATTTATTGAGCAACTATTTCTAACTCTGGCTTTGGCACAGCTTTTCCATTATTTTATATTTTAAAATGTATATACATTTTATTACCATATATTTCAACAAAATAAACAAACGATAATTTGTAAATGTGTACACATTTTATTATGACATCCTGTATATGTAACATAGAAAGTATATATACAATAAGTATTACACAACACAAGAAATATTCTTAAACCCAGATATCAATATGTTTTTGGACGTGATCAGATGAGCAACGAACATTAGAGTATTATAGCGTATGTATTTAATAAGTAATTTAATATATAAAAAAACATTAATAAAACATTTTCAAATACTAATATTGAAAAACGCAGAAAACAAAATGTTTCTCATATTGGAATTGCTAATAATATTTTTATTAAAAGAAACGTACGCATATATCAATCAAGATATCGAAAAAATATTGCTGCCGGCATGGAATTCGACAAGCGCAGAAAAAGTACGTGCGATTTACTGTACCGCTTTATTCATTGCGCAGTGTCCAAAATATTATTCGACAATTCTCAAGTCTATTATTCATTGCTATTCAATTTGCAGATACCACTAACTTTGAAAATTTTTGGAAAACAAATTCAATTAAACCTGCGTAGAAACGACCAGATTGTATCGTCCAAGTTTAAAGCATGGAAACGTGATGCTAAAAGTATCACAGAAAAACTTATTCCGCAATTATACGCATCTGATCCTTGCAATTATTACCACGAAGATCAAATCACCACAGCGGCCATAAACTTTTGTCAACAAAATGGATGGGTCAGTGATACCATTTAAAAAACAGTTTTTACTTTTAATCTCTAATTCTCTTTGTTGTATATATGAGCATGACACGCAAGACCATTAATGTATATTTTTCAAAGTAGGAAGGATTCGTTTTTCTGAAACATGAAACATTGGAAATTAAACCTTTGCCGGATCACTTTGCGTCTTTGATCACAATCGACGATCTTTGCGTTAAAGAAGAGATAAATATATCATTTGGCAGACCTCACTTAATTAAAAAAACATTGCAATTATCTGCTGATTCAAGTTTTCGAAAATTCGATAATTTTAAACGAAAGCGACGTCATGTACAAAATACCCAAGAAAAATTAGCCATAGAACTGGCTGTGTTCTTCGATGAAGCCGCATATCGTACGTTCATGCCTTTTCTGGACGAAGATGAAGAAAAGTTACGCATGATGATATTAGCGTATGTGAATAATATTCAAGCTATGTTCCATCATCTTAGTTTGGGTGTTTCTATCGATATTTCGTTGGTACATTTAGAATTCTTGGATAAACAACCGTCAAATTTACCAGTTTTTGACGGTAACGATGTGAAATTGCGCGAGGCGTTCTGCAAATACGCGAAAGCTCGCAATCCTCCGGACGACAATGATCCGCATCACTGGGACATTGGTCTTTACCTAACTGGAATAAACATTTATGGTACGAGCATTGATGACGCAGGAATATCCTTCATCGGTGGTGTGTGCAAATCAAGTATATCATGTGCAATAGTCGAGTTTGGTATTGCAAATAGTTTGTCATCGGGTTTTACGTCATCTGTCGCTGCTGCTCATGAGATCGGCCATGTGTAAGTTTATAAAAGTTTTACAAAAAAATTAAACATAAATAACATGTTTTATAAACATTTGTTCAAATTTATAAATTAAAAGTAGAAAATAAAGCAACTTCTTAAAAGATGTGTTCTTCTAATTATTTAGTATGCTAATTATTAATAATTTTGTAATATAATAATATTATAAATAAACAATGCACCATAAAGCATGTTATCAAAATTAATAACTTATTTGTTCCAAAGCTTAGGAATGCGACACGATTCAATACTGTGTGATTATGACAAAGGCATTATGACTCCTGGCCTGGGACCCGTAGGCCATATGACATGGTCCGAGTGTAGTCGTAATACAGCTGAAAAACTCTGGACTACACCAAAGTGTCTTGCAGATCATACAAGATCGGAAGACGCCTTGGACCATTCGAGCTATCATGATTTACCCGGAAGAGAATGGACCGCCAAAGCTCAATGCGAAATATTTTTTCGCGACAAGGATGCAAACGTAATCTCGTTGCTTGATATATGTAAATCCTTACAATGCGAAACGCCTCATAAAAATGAATATTACTTTACGGGACCGGCGTTGGAAGGTATGTACCTTTTTACTAATTTCTTATTTAATTTATAGTTCAATTAATCTCATTTTTTAAGGAACTAATTGCGCATTAAAAAAGGAATGTCGCGGAGGAGAATGCGTGCCCATTTTCGAACCGCCATACATTCTCGAATATTGTGAAGATGATAACTGGAGTGAATGGAAAGAAAGCACCTGTGAAAGTAGTTGCTTGGTCAAATCTAAAGGCGTTAAAGTCAAACGACGTTCTTGTAAACATGGAAGTAACAGAACGGCGAGTTGTAAAGGGCCATATTACGACGTTGTTCTGTGCGATGATACGTTACTCTGCACGGAGAAACGTAAAAAGATCCATTTATATACTGTAACAAAATGCACGCAATTCAATCTTTTCGCAAAATCAATCAAAATGGAATTGCCGTTTGAATTAGAAATGAAGCCAGGATGGCAGGCCGCTCATGATGTCGAGAAGCCATGGAAGGCCTGTACTATACACTGCCGACTAAAAAATTCATCTACTCTCTACGCACCACGCCTTGAAATGATCAACTTTAATATGATCCCATACTTTCCAGATGGAACGTGGTGTCACAAGAAAGATGGCGAGAATTATTACTGTCGCCAACATTACTGTTTGCCGGAAACCTACAGTTATAATGGTTAAGATATTATTGACATGTGTGAACAAAAATCGAAAAGAAAGAAAATCATAAAACGCTCCTAAATCATTTTAGAATAGTTTGTCAATTCGTTTGGTACCGAATTTTCGATCGGTCAATCTGTTGTCAATAACATCTGTTTTGCGTATCATCCACACTTTATTTAACAAAGACAAGTGGACCAAAAATTATATCAAATTTTCTGCAACTAAAATTAATTCCGTCAATTAAAAATAGTGGAAACATAATAAAAATAACAAAAAACAAATAGGAAATATTCAATATGTTTACCAAATGTAAAAATAAGTATTTGAGTAGAGTAGAGATATTTCCGTATGAAATATTGTGTCGAGAGAATGAACGAGAACGATAATGTCACTCACTATGTTATATACTGTAATGGTCTACCAAAGTTTCATTATATTACATAAAGACTTAGAAAGATTAATAAATGATGAAATACAGAAAATTTTATTCCAAAAGTAAGAAAATATTCAAACTTATTTATTACAAAATGTTACTTATTCACTGAACTTATGTGCCCGCTGGCCGAATGCAGCAATAATGGGATCGTCAGAGAAAGAGAGAGAAAAATGGAAGAATTTCAATATATTTGCTACTTAAGTTAATCAGTAAATCAGTGATCTAGTTTTTTTTTTTTTTTTAATATATTTATAAAGTTAAATTGTGCATCCAATGTTATGTTCTACACTTTCTACAATTGTCATTAATTATAATTTTTTTAAATGTTTGTGAATATTGTTCAAAATATTTAATAACAATTTTACATATGTTACATATCAATCATAACGCATTACATAATTCATAACGCATTTTTCTTACTTTACACGTTATTGCAAATTTTATATGTAAAATATGCAATTCAGAACCGAAAAGAAAAATACAAATACAAATACAAATACATAGGATGTCCCTATATAATGTATATATATTTTATTCCCATATATTTTAACAAAATGGACAAACGGACAAATGATAACTTGTTAATGTGTTTACAATTTATAAGGACATCCTGTATATGTAGCATAAAAGGTATATATACATGAAGTGTCACACGACACGAGTGATATTCCTAAACCCAGATACCAGTATGTGTTTATACCCGATCAGATGATCAACGAACAAGAGAGTATTATAACGAACGTATGTAATAAGTAATTTAATATATAAAAAGACGTTAATAAAATATTTTCGAGCAAAATTGAAAAACGCAAGAAACATGTTTCTCATATTAAAATTGCTAATAATATTTTTATTAAATAAAACGTTCGCATATATCGAGCAAGATATTGAAAAAATATTGTTGCCGGCATGGAATTCAAGCGCAAAAGAAGTACGTGTAATTTATTGTATTGCTTTATTCATTACGCAGTGTTCAAAATATTATTCGATAATTATCAAGTCTTTTATTGCTATTCAATTTGCAGATACCACTAACTCTGAAAATTTTTGGAAAAGTAATTCAATTAAACCTGCGTAGAAACGAGCGGATTGTATCGTCCAAGTTTGAGGCATGGAAACGTGATGCAAAAAACATTACAGAAGAACTTATTCCGCAATTATACACATCTGATTCTTGCTATTATTTTCACAAAAATCATATCAGCACGGCGGCCATAAACTTTTGTCAACAACATGGATGGGTCAGTGATACTAAATGAAAAACTAATACTTAATACTTTTAATGACAAATTGCTTTTGTTGTAAATATACTGAGTCGGAGACGCAAAACATTAATGTATATTTTTCAAAGTAGGAAGGATTCGTTTTTCTGAAACATGAAACATTGGAAATTAGACCTTTGCAAATTGACTTTGCGTTTTTGACCACAATCGACGATCTTTGCGTTAAAGAAGTGATAAATATATCATTTGGCAGACCTCACTTAATTAAAAGAACATCGCGATTATCTGCTGGTCCAAACTTTCGTAAATTTGATAATTTTAAAATAAAGCGACGTCATGTACGAAATACGCAAGGAAAATTAACTATAGAACTGGCTGTGTTCTTCGACGAAGCCGCATATCGAACGTTCATGCCTCTTCTGGACAAAGATGAAGAAAGTTAGCGCATGATGATATTAGCGTATGTTGAATAATGTTCAAGCTATGTTCCATCATCCTAGTTTGGGTGTTTCTATCGATATATCGTTGGTACATTTGAAAATCTTCGATAAACAACCGTCATATTTGCCAGTTTTTGACGGTAACAGTGTGAAACTGCTCAAGGCATTCTGCAAATACGCGAAAGCTGAAAATTCTCCATACGATAATAATCCGCATCACTGGGATATTGGTCTTTACCTGACTGGAGTAAACATTAATGGTAGGAGCCTTGCTGTCGCAGGAAAATCCTTCGTCGGTGGTGTGTGCAAATCAAATAAATCGTGTGCGATAGCAGAATTTGGTATTGCAGATAGTCTGTCATCGGGTTTTACATCATCTATCATTGCTGCTCATGAGATCGGTCATGTGTAAGTTTATAAAAGTCTTGCAAATAAATTAAACATGAATAACGTGTTTTATAAAAATTTGTTCAAATATAAAAAATAAAAGTAGAAATTAAAGCAACTTCTTAAGAGATGTGTTCTTTTAATTATTCAGTATGCTAATTATTAATAAATTTATAATAAAATAATATTATAAATAAACAATGCAATATAAAGCATATTATCAAAATTAATAACTTATTTGTTCTAAAGTTTAGGAATGCGACACGATTCAGTACTGTGTGATTATGACAAAGGCATTATGAGCCCTAACATGGGACCTGTAGGCTTTATGGGATGGTCCTGGTGTAGTCGTTATACAGCTGAAGAACTTTGGACTACACCAAAGTGTCTTGGAGATCGTACGAAATCGAAAGATGCCTATGATCATTCGCGTTATCACGATTTACCCGGAAGAGAATGGACCGCCAAAGCTCAATGCGAAATATTTTTTCGCGACAAAGATGCAAACGTAGTCTCGTTGCTTGATATATGTAAATCCTTACAATGCGAAACGCCTCACAAAAGTAGGCATTACTTTACGGGACCAGCGTTGGAAGGTATGTACCTTTTTACTGATTTCTTATTTAACTTATAGTTCAATTAATCTCATTTTTAAGGAACTAATTGCGCATTAAAGAAGGAATGTCGTGGAGGCGAATGCGTGCCCATTTCCGAACCGCCATACATTCTCAAATATTATGAAAATGATAACTGGAGTGAATGGAAAGAAGACACCTGTCAAAGTAGTTGCTTGGTCAAATCTAAAGGCGTTAAAGTCAAACGACGTTCTTGTAAACATGGAAGTAACAGATCGGCGAGTTGTAAAGGGCCATATTACGACGTGGTTCTGTGTGATGATTCGTTACTCTGTACTGAGAAACGCAAAAGGATTGACTCACATATTGAAATAAAGTGCGAGCGCGTGAACTATTTTGCGAAAAAAAACAATTTTACCATGACGTTTGAATTATATATAGATATAGAGCCAGGTTGGCAGGCCGCTCATGATAACGAAAAACCATGGAAGGCCTGTACTATACACTGCCGACTAAAAAATTCATCTACTCTCTACGCACCACGCCTTGAAATGATCAACTTTAATATGGTCCCATACTTTCCAGATGGAACGTGGTGTCACAAGGAAGATGGCGAGAATTATTACTGTCGCCAACATTACTGTTTGCCGGAAACCTACAGTTATAATGGTTAAGATATTATTGACATGTGTGAACGAGAATCGAAAAGAAAGAAAATCATAAAACGCGCCTAAATCATTTTAGAATAGTTTGTCAATTCGTTTGGTACCGAATTTTCGATCGGTCAATCTGTTGTCATTAACATCTGTTTTGCGTATCATCCACACTTCACTTAACAAAGACAAGTGGACCAAGAATTATATCGAATTTTCAGCAACTAAAATTAATTCCGTCAATTAAAAATAGTGAAAACATAATAAAAATAACAAAAAAATAATAGGTAATATTCAATATGTTTACCAAATGTGAAAATAAGTATCTGAGTAGAGTAGAGATATTTCTATTCCGTATGAGATATCGTGTCGAGAGAACGATAACGTCTCTCACTATATAATGTACTTTAATAGTCTACCAATGTTTCATTATATTATATAGAGACTTAGAAAAATTAATAAATAATGAAATAAAGAAAATTTTATTCCAAAAGTAAGAAAATTTTCAGACTTATTTAGTACAAATTGTTACTTATTCGCTGAACTTATGTGCCCGTTGGCCGAATGCGGTAGTAACGAGGTCGTCAAAAACGGTTGAATTTTAATATTTTTGCTACTTAAGTTAATCAGTAAATCAGTGCTCATTTTTTTTTTCTTTTAATATATTTAATATTTATAAGGCTAAATTGTGCTCGCAATGTTGTGTTGCACACTTTCTAAAATTGTCGTTAATTAAAATTTTCTTAACGTTTGGTAATATTGTTTAAAATATTTGTAAATAATGTTACATATTCTACATATCCATCATAATTCATAACACATTTTTCTTAATTCCCACGATATTGCAAGTTTCATGTGTAAAATATACAATTCAGAACCGATAAAAAAATACGAAAAAAACAGGGTGTCCTAATAAAATGTAGATTCAATTTATTCTTATATTCTTTAACAATAAGAACAAACGATAACTTGTTAATGTGTATATTTTTGGTAGGAATTGGTGCAGTTTGACCGAACACCCGGCCAGTTACAATCTAATATTACTGGTTTTTCTTTATATAAAAAATACTGCATTGCAACTAAGCAAAAATATTTCAAGCAATTTTATTATACAATATTATATAATACTATTTTTTATTGTATAATAAAATTGCTTTGACTAATTTTGCCTAAAATATATTCTAAAATATATCATTAATATTAAATAAATTTTGACCAATTTTTAAAATAAAAAATTAACAATTTTGATAACAAATTAAGTTCAAGTTTAGTAAGTTTGTAAAATAATGAAGTAAAATTAATAAATTTGTGTTAACGCATGCTAAAATATATAGCAAAGAAAAAAAAACGTACAGAATTAAAACAGCTTAGAAAACGTATCTCACATAATTCTGTCATCAAAATTTTAAGAGAGATTAAAAGTGACAATTGTAAATTATCTATTTATTGTCCTTTTACTGCTAAATAACCGAGTAACAGATTTTGTACATTTCTTCTATGTAGTAATTACGCGAAAAGCGTTACGTCTTTATTGGAAACCTAAACAGTTTTACTGTTCAATTACTAGGCAGAAGCCAATATAAGTGCCCAATAACCAATCGAAAACTGTAATAAATTTCTAGCAAGGACATTTTATTAAGCATTACTGTATATACAGTAAAGCATAGAAGGTATATATACAATAAATGTCACACGACATGAATAATATTCCTAAACCCAGATACCAGTATGTGCTTGGGCGTGACACAACGAGTTGATACAACGAGAGCTTTATAACGTATGTATGCAATAAGTAATTTAATATATAAAAAAACATTAATAAAACATTTTCAAGTGCTAAAATTCAAAAACGCAAAAAACAACATGTTTCTCATATTGAAATTGCTATTAATATTTTTATTAAATGAAACGTACGCATATATCGAGCAAGACATCGAAAGAATATTGCTGCCGGCATGGAATTCGACAAGCGCAGAAGAAGTACGTGCGATTTACTGTACCGCCTTATTCTTTGCGTAGTGTCCAAAATATAATTCGAGAATTATCAAATCTTTTATTCATTATCATTCAATTTGCAGATACCACTAACTCTGAAAATTTTTGGAAAACAAATTCAATTAAACTTGCATAGAGACGACCAAACTGTATCGTCCAAGTCTAAAGTATGGAAACATGACGCAAAAAGCATTATAGAAGAACTTATTCCGCAATTACACGCATCTGATCCTTGCCATTATTTTCACGAAGATCATATCAGCACTGCGGCCATAAACTTTTGTCAACAACATGGATGGGTCAGTGATACCAAATGAAAAACTAATACTTAATACTTTTAATGACAAATTGCTTTTGTTGTAAATATAAGCCTGACACGCAAAACCATTAATGAATATTTTTCAAAGTAGGAAGGATTCGTTTTTCTGAAACATGAAACATTAGAAATTAGACCTTTGCAAACTGACTTTGCGTCTTTGACCACAATCGACGATCTTTGCGATAAAGAAGTGATAAATATATCATTTGGTAGACCTCACTTAATTAAAAGAACATCGCAATTATCTGCTGGTCCAAATTTTCGTAAATTCGATAATTTTAAAATAAAGCGACGTCATGTACGAAATACGCAAGAAAAATTAACTATAGAACTCGCTGTGTTCTTCGACGAAGCCGCATATCGAACGTTCATGCCTCTTCTGGACAAAGATGAAGAAAAGTTGCGCATGATGATATTAGCGTATGTGAATAATGTTCAAGCTATGTTCCATCATCCTAGTTTAGGTGTTTCTATCGATATATCGTTGGTACATTTGAAAATCTTCGATAAACAACCGTCATCTTTGCCAGTTTTTGACGGTAACAGTGTGAAACTGCTCGAGGCATTCTGCCAATACGCGAAAGCTCAAAATTCTCCAGACGATAATAATCCGCATCACTGGGACATTGGTCTTTACCTGACTGGAGTAAACATTAATGGTACGAGCCTTGATGTCGCAGGAAAATCCTTCGTCGGTGGTGTGTGCGAATCAAATTATTCGTGTGCGATAGTAGAATTTGGTATTGCAGATGGTCTGTCATCGGGTTTTACATCATCTATCCTTGCTGCTCATGAGATCGGTCATGTGTAAGTTTATAAAAGTCTTGAAAATAAATTAAACACGAATAACGTGTTTTATAAAAATTTGTTCAAATTTATAAATTAAAAGTAGAAATTAAAGCAACTTCTTAAGAGATGTGTTCTTTTAATTATTCAGTATGCTAATTATTAATAAATTTATAATAAAATAATATTATAAATAAACAATGCAACATAAAACATATTATCAAAATTAATAACTTATTTGTTCTAAAGTTTAGGAATGCGACACGATTCAGTACTGTGTGATTATGACAACGGCATTATGAGCCCTAGCATGGGACCTGTAGGCTTTATGGGATGGTCCTGGTGTAGTCGTTATACAGCTGAAGAACTCTGGACTACACCAAAGTGTCTTGCAGATCATACGAGATCGGAAGACGCCTTGGACCATTCGAGCTATCATGATTTACCCGGAAGAGAATGGACCGCCAAAGCTCAATGCGAAATATTTTTTCGCGACAAAGATGCAAACGTAGTCTCGTTGCTTGATATATGTAAATCCTTACAATGCGAAACGCCTCACAAAAGTAGGCATTACTTTACGGGACCAGCGTTGGAAGGTATGTACCTTTTTAATGATTTCTTATTTAACTTATAGTTCAATTAATCTCATTTTTAAGGAACTAATTGCGCATTAAAGAAAGAATGTCGTGGAAGAGAATGCGTGCCCATTTTCGAACCGCCATACATTCTCGAATATTGTGATGATGATAACTGGAGTGAATGGAAAGAAAGCACCTGTCAAAGTAGTTGCTTGGTCAAATCTAAAGGCGTTAAAGTCAAACGACGTTCTTGTAAACATGGAAGTAACAGAACGACGAGTTGTAAAGGGCCATATTACGACGTGGTTCTGTGTGATGATTCGTTACTCTGTACTGAGAAACGCAAGAGGATCGACTCACATATTGAAATAAAGTGCAAGCGCGTGAACTATTTTGCGAAAAAAACAATTTTACCATGACGTTTGAATTAGATATAGAGTCAGGTTGGCAGGCCGCTCATGATAACGAAAAACCATGGAAAGCCTGTACTATACACTGCCGACTAAAAAATTCATCTACTCTCTACGCACCACGCCTTGAAATGATCAACTTTAATATGGTCCCATACTTTCCAGATGGAACGTGGTGTCACAAGAAAGATGGTGAGAATTATTACTGTCGCCAACATTACTGTTTGCCGGAAACCTACAGTTATAATGGTTAAGATATTATTGACATGTGTGAACGAGAATCGAAAAGAAAGAAAATCATAAAACGCGCCTAAATCATTTTAGAATAGTTTGTCAATTCGTTTGGTACCGAATTTTCGATCGGTCAGTCTATTGTCAATAACATCTGTTTTGCGTATCATCCACACTTTACTTAACAAAGACAAGTAGACCAAGAATTATATCAAATTTTCTGCAACTAAAATTAATTCTGTCAATTAAAATTATAAAAACATAATAAAAATAACAAAAAAGTAATAAAAAATATTTAATATGTTTATTAAATGTGAAAATAAGTATCTGAGTAGAGTAAAAATATTTCTATTCCGTATAATATATTGTGTCGAGAGAATGATCGAGAACGATAACGTCATTCACTATGTTATATACTGTAATGGTCTACCAATGTTTCATTATATTATATAAAGACTTAGAAAGATTAATAAATGATGAAATAAAGAAAATTTTATTCCAAAAGTAAGAAAATATTCAAACTTATTTAGTACAAATTGTTACTTATTCACTGAATTTATGTGCCCGTTGACCGAATGCGGCAGTAATGGGATCGTCAGAGAGAGAGAAAGAGAAAGAGAGAAAAATGGAAGAATTTCAATATATTTGTTACTTAAGTTAATCAGTAAATCAGTGATCAGTTTTTTTTGTTTTTAAATATATTTAATATTTAAAAGGCTAAATTGTGCATCCAATGTTATGTTCTACACTTTCTACAAATGTTATTAATTATAATTTTTTAAATGTTTGTGAATATTGTTCAAAATATTTAATAACAATTTTACATATGTTACATGTCAATCATAACGCATTACATAATTCATAACGCATTTTTCTTACTTTACACGTTATTGCAAATCTCATATGTAAAATATGCAATTCAGAACCGAAAAGAAAAATACAAATACATAGGATGTCCTTATAAAATGTATATATATTTTATTCCCATATTATTTAACAAAATGGACAAACGGACAAATGATAACTTCTTAATGTGTTTACAATTTATAAGGACATCCTGTATATGTAGCATAGAAGGTATATATACATGAAGTGTCACACGACACGAGTGATATTCCTAAACCCAGATACCAGTATGTGTTTATACCCGATCAGATGATCAACGAACAAGAGAGTATTATAACGAATGTATGTAATAAGTAATTTAATATATAAAAAGACGTTAATATAAAATATTTTCAAGCAAAATTGAAAAACGCAAGAAACATGTTTCTCATATCGAAATTGCTAATAATATTTTTATTAAATGAAACGTTCGCATATATCGAGCAAGATATTGAAAAAATATTATTGCCGGCATGGAATTCAAGCGCAAAAGAAGTACGTGTCATTTATTGTACTGCTTTATTCATTGCGCAGTGTCCAAAATATTATTCGATAATTATCAAATCTTTTATTCATTATCATTCAATTTGCAGATACCACTAACTCTGAAAATTTTTGGAAAAGTAATTCTATTAAACCTGCGTAGAAACGAGCGGATTGTATCGTCCAAGTTTGAGGCATGGAAACGTGATGCAAAAAACATTACAGAAGAACTTATTTCGCAATTATACACATCTGATCCTTGCTATTATTTTCACAAAAATCATATCAGCACGGCGGCCATAAACTTTTGTCAACAACATGGATGGGTCAGTGATACTAAATGAAAAACTATACTTAATACTTTTAATGACAAATTGCTTTTGTGTAAATATAAGCCTGACACGCTAAAACATTAATGTATATTTTCAAAGTAGGAAGGATTCGTTTTTCTGAAACATGAAACATTGGAAATTAGACCTTTGCAAATTGACTTTGCGTCTTTGACCACAATCGACGATCTTTGCGTTAAAGAAGTGATAAATATATCATTTGGCAGACCTCACTTAATTAAAAGAACATCGCGATTATCTGCTGGTCCAAATTTTCGTAAATTCGATAATTTTAAAATAAAGCGACGTCATGTACGAAATACGCAAGAAAAATTAACTATAGAACTGGCTGTGTTCTTCGACGAAGCCGCATATCGAACGTTCATGCCTCTTCTGGACAAAGATGAAGAAAAGTTGCGCATGATGATATTAGCGTATGTGAATAATGTTCAAGCTATGTTCCATCATCCTAGTTTGGGTGTTTCTATCGATATATCGTTGGTACATTTGAAAATCTTCGATAAACAACCGTCATCTTTGCCAGTTTTTGACGGTAACAGTGTGAAACTGCTCAAGGCGTTCTGCAAATACGCGGAAGCTCGCAATCCTCCGGACGACAATAATCCGCATCACTGGGACATTGGTCTTTACCTGACTGGAGTAAACATTTATGAGAAGAGCCATTCCGATTTAGGAAGATCCTTTCTCGGTGGTGTGTGCAAATCAAATATATCGTGTGCGATAGTCGAATTTGGTACTGCAAATAGTATAACATCGGGTTTTACGTCATCTATCGCTGCTGCTCATGAGATCGGCCATGTGTAAGTTTATAAAAGTCTTACAAATAAATTAAACATAAATAACATGTTTTATAAAAATTTGTTCAAATTTATACATTAAAAGTAGAAAATAAAGCAACTTCTTAAGAGATGTGTTCTTTTAATTATTCAGTATGCTAATTATTAATAAATTTGTATAATATAATAATATTATAAATAAACAGTGCAACATAAAGCATATTATCAAAATTAATAACTTATTTGTTCTAAAGTTTAGGAATGCCACACGATTCAGTACTGTGTGATTATGACAAAAGCATTATGAGCCCTAGCATGGGACATGGCTATATGGGATGGTCCCGGTGTAGTCGTTTTACAGCTGAAGAACTCTGGATTACACCAAAGTGTCTTGCAGATCATACGAGATCGGAAGACGCCTTGGACCATTCGAGCTATTATGATTCACCCGGAAGAGAATGGACCGCCAAAGCTCAATGCGAAATATTTTTTTGCGATAAGGATGCAAACGTAGTCTCTTTGCTTGATATATGTAAATCTTTACAATGCGAAACGCCTCACAAAAATGGGCATTACTTTACGGGACCGGCGTTGGAAGGTATGTACCTTTTTACTGATTTCTTATTTAACTTATAGTTTAATTAATCTCATTTTTTTAGGAACTAATTGCGCATTAAAGAAGGAATGTCGTGGAGGAGAATGCGTGCCCATTTTCGAACCGCCATACATTCTCAAATATTGCGAAGATGATAACTGGAGTAAATGGAAAAAAAGCACCTGTCAAAGTAGTTGCTTGGTCAAATCTAAAGGCGTTAAAGTCAAACGACGTTCTTGTAAACATGAAAGTAACAGAACGGCGAGTTGTGAAGAACCATATTACGACGTGGTTCTGTGTGATGATTCGTTACTCTGTACTGAGGAACGCAAGAGGATCGACTCAGATATTGAAATAAAGTGCAGGCTCGTGAACTATTTTGCAAAAATAAACAATTTGACCATGACGTTTGAATTAGATATAGAGCCAGGATGGCAGGCCGCTCATGATGACGAGAAACCATGGAAGGCCTGTACTATACACTGCCGACTAAAAAATTCATCTACTCTCTACGCACCACGCCTTGAAATGAACAACTTTAATATGATCCCATACTTTCCAGATGGAACGTGGTGTCACAAGAAAGATGACGAGAATTATTACTGTCGCCAACATTACTGTTTGCCGGAAACTTACAGTTATAATGGTTAAAATATCATTGACATGCGTGAACGAGAATCGAGAAAATAGAAAACCATGAAACGCGCCTAAATCATTTTAAAATAGTTTGTCAATTTGTTTGGTACCGAATTTTTGATCAGTCAATCTGTTGTCATTAACATCTGCTTAGCATATACACCTTACTTAATAAAGACATGTGGACCAAGAATTATATCAAATTTTCTGCAACGAAAATTAATTCCGTCGATTAAAAATAGTGAAATCATAATAAAAATAATAAAAAAGTAATAGGTAATATTCAATATGTTTACCAAATGTAAAAATAAGTATTTGAGTAGAGTAGAGATATTTCTATTCCGTATGATATCGTGTCGAGAGAACGATAACGTCGTTTTAACGTTTTACGTTACATAATAAACGTCCCTCGCATGGGACGTGTAGGCCATATGACATGGTCCGAGTGTAGTCGTTATACAGCTGAAGAACTCTGGACTACACCGAAGTGTCTTGCAGATCATACGAGATCGGAAGACGCTTTGGACCATTCGAGCTATCATGATTTACCCGGAAGAGAATGGATTGTCAAAGCTCAATGCGAAATATATTTTCGCGACAAGGATGCAAACGTAGTCTCGTTGCTTGATATATGTAATTTCTTACAATGCAAAACGCCTCACAAAAGTAGGTTTTACTTTTCGGAACCGGCGTTGGAAGGTATGTACCTTCTTAGTGATCTCTCAATTAACTTATAGTTTAATTAATCTCATTTTTCTAGGAACTCATTGCGCATTAGGGAAAGAATGTCGCGGAGGAGAATGCGTGCCCGTTCTCAAACCGCTATACATTTTTAAGTATGGTGAAGTTAATAACTGGGGTGACTGGAAAGAAGGTGCCTGTCAAAGTAGTTGCTTGATGAAATCTAAAGGCGTAAAAGTCAAACGACGTTCTTGCAAACATGGAAGTCACAGATCGGTTAGTTGCGAAGGGCCATATTATGACGTGGTTCTGTGTGATGATACGTTACTCTGTGCTGGGAAACGCAAGAGGATTGAGTTAGATATTGAAAATAAGTGCAAGTGTTTGAGATATTTTGCAAAAATAAACAATTTGACCATGACGATTAAATTAGATAAAAAGCCAGGATGGCAGACCATTCATGATTTCGAGAAACCATGGAAGGCCTGTACTATACATTGCCGACTAAAAAATTCATTAACTCTCTACGCACTACGCTTTGAAATGATCGATTTTAATGTGGACCCATACTTTCCAGATGGAACGTTGTGTCACAAGAAAGATGGCGAGAATTATTACTGTCGCCAACATTATTGTCTGCCGGAAAACTACAGTTATAATGGTTAAGACATTACAGACTAAATTGTATCCGCAATGTTATGTTCTAATCTTTCTAAAACTGTCATTAATTAAAATTTTTTTAACGTTTCTGCATAATGTTCAAAATGTTTGTAAATAATGTTATATATTCTATCTATTGTTCGCTATTTTCATAATTCTATTT